GAAGGAAGGAAGGAAGGAAAAGAAAAATATCTCTATGTTTTTATCTTTCCATCTGAGGCTGAATAGCAGGAAATTGATAAAGCTCAAAAGGAAATATTTTTTTTGCATGCCAGACCTGAAGGATGAAATCCCTTCCATTGCTACCTCTGTTTTCCCTTTTGTCATTGCCATTTTTATGCTGTTGACATGTGAGTGGAATCATTCAGCTTCTCTTTGCCAGGTATTGTTTAATATCATTACAAAAGTGGCTCTTGATCCATTCTTTAAAGACAGTTGGAATAATTGAAGCATTTCTGAATTTTTAAACAAAGGATGAGGGAAATTGCTTTAATTGTTGCAGTGGGAACACTTCAGTAGTGCAAGGTAAGAACTATTTAACCTAAATGTCAGAATAAGTTATGTCAGGCTGAAATTTATTGGCCTGCAGAATGGTCTCCAAATGGGAAAACTTGGAACATGTTTTTTTGAAGATTGGCATTCATCATCTGTCAGGGCTGTTAGGCTCAGTGAAGCAGTTTCACCCTGATGTCTGAATTTCTATACTTTTGTGGGTTTAAATCAAACCCTGAAAGTTACTTGAACATAGTTGGGTTTGGGTTTTTTTTTAGCTCACAATGGGTCAGTCCCAACTTTTCCCGTGGTCATGTTGCTGACAACATCTGTCTAATCTGACTCTCTGTGGCCTCTTGGAACATTCACTTCTAACACCCACACAGAGAAGATATTTCAAGAAATTTTCTCTGAAGTTTTTACAGAGTAAACAGATTTTTTTGCCCTGAAAAGTACTGCACAAGGCAGATATTTCTTCATCAATTCATGCTGAAATTTCCTTGCCTGCAATTCAGAACTCCTGGGCTAGCTCAGGCCCTGGATCCAGTCATAGCTTTAAATCTCAGGTTTGGGTTATGTTGGAGGGTTTGTTATTTTGCTTTCTTTTTACAAGGTGACAAAATGGGACATACACAACAGTTTTGAATAGCTTCAAGTTGTTATCTTATTAATTTATGTGATCCTTTGTTTTCTCACTGCACTTGACACACCTGGCAAAGACACATTTCTGCAAATTGTGTCTTCTTCGTGATGACCTAAACTGCAGACCCAGAGACACCATTTAATTCTGGCTGAAGTTACACCCTGTCCAGATGATCTCTCCATTTTGGTGCATTGATCAGTGTAGCATTCTCTATTTTTAGTCTGTGTTTTTAGGAAGAAATATCTGTTTAGGTTTTATTCATAATCTATATCTATAATTCTTCCCTGGGGTTTCTTAGGTACTAAAACAGAGAAATAAATTTACAATACAGCTTTCATCAGTCCTTTTCCCCCTCCCCAGTGATTTCAGTACCTTCATTTGTGCCTCCCTGAACTGTCTCTGTGCTAAAGTGCTTTTAGAATTAGCCTCTATTATGCTGCTACAGCAGCTTAACCTTGAGCTTAAATATATACATTGAAGTCAGTGACTCTCCCACATGTTTAAGTGCTTTGCTGGGTGATGACATGCCAGTATAAAATTCTGTAAATATGCCTAAAGGATCAGGTTTAGTTATGACTTTTCCCAGTGATGAAAAAGGTGAAACAAGTACAATTCAACAACTCAGGAGTGATTCACAGACAAGTCTAGTTTCAGGGTCCTGGACAGGGAGTCAGGTCCCCATTGTATTGCTGAGCAGAATTTGCTGCTTTCAGCAGCTCAGGGATTTCACTAGCAAGTTTAAATTTCGGTTCAGTATGTAAATGTTGACGTTTTTCTTCTCTGCAACATCAAGCTGTAAAATGTCCTTCCAGAAACCAAGCGCCACCGTCGCTGTGTGAACTCTCCCTCCTGGTTTCAGAGCAGTGGCAGACTGGGAGCAGCCTGGATTTTGGAGATCACAGATGTGCTTTGTTCTCATGAGTAAATATTTTGGAATGTCAGAGTGGAAAACCCTTCCAAATATTTTGCTGTTCAGCAATTTTTGTCCTTTGCAGCCTCACTCGATTCCTTTTCTCTGCATGGAATTTCCTACCTGTAATCTCTTTATTTCGGATGTTTAGCTTGCACAGCAGAGTTTGCCCATGCAAAACACATGGTTTTTACTGAAGGGAGATTTAAGATGCTGTTTTCTTTCTAGGTCATAGCTGAACTCAGGACAAGCATTTCCTCCCTGACAGAGCAGAACAGCCGGCAGCAGCTTGCGGCCGAGCAGCGGCTCCAGGAAGTTGTACAGAAGTTGGAAGATGAGAAGCAGCAGCTGATGAGAGATAATGACAGAGCAATCAAGGTAATCTGGGGATTTCAGTGGCTGGGGGAGTGGAATTACAAGTTGTGCAGTGAGCAGATGAGTGCAGGTCCCTGGTCACAGGCTCATGGAACCATTGGACCTTGGATTTGATGTCGATGGTGACTCAGGTTCTCTCCTCTAGCTGATCATCTGTTGTATAAAGCACTTGGATTTGGCAAATCTAATGCATCCACTTCAGTCAAATCCTTGAATCTTTCTTGTTCTCTTTCTTTTCACATCGACTCAGATACTTTAGTGTATCTTCAGCCCCTTCATCCTGTGCTTTGAGGACTTGAAAATGCACAAGGTGAGAAGTAGGAGCTGGAGTGGCATGGGCTGGAACTTGGTGTCCACAAACATCCTCAACTTCCATGTTTAGGGATGCAGTGAAGGAAAGTTTGTTCTTTGCTTCCATTGAAAACTATATGCAAAGTCTGTGCTAAATAGGATGACATAAAGTATTTCTTTGTATTTTTAGCCCATGAGATTTCTCCATGTTTTGCCTCAGAATTGCATTCTGTGGCCTTTTTCAGCTCTTTGCAGAGACTACAGGGCCTGAATAGTCAGGCTCTGTTCTTTCAGACCTTGATTCAAAGCAGCTGCAGAGGATCCCACCTGTGGAATAAGCAGGATTAGTCTATAAACATTTCTCTTTTCAGAGTAGTGAAGAGCAATGGAAAAGTTCTGAAACTAATGTAATCTGCTCGGGTTGACAAACACCTTGTGAAAAGTTGGATAGAAGAAGGAAATTCCTTTTTTCTTTCATAAATACATTTACACATACCAAAGAATTAGGTTATTAAATCTAGAAACTCGTAAAAAATGAACTCCTACAATCTATCATAACTTTTTGTGCCAAAAATATACTATGAATGTTTTCACATGTTGCCACTCTCTGGTGTTGGATTGTGGTGCAGGTAGTGAGTGGTGTCCTCTATATCTGAATGATTTGTGTAATGAATGAGGTTGACATTCCTACCTCCTCATCTGCAGAATGTACTTTTTGATTTCATCCCTTCTTTAATTATTATAATTTTTTCTTAAAGACAATGTCTGCCTTTATTTGAGTGCGTGTTGAGGATCTATAATATCTTCTTTCAAAGGTACAGCCATAAAAATATTGGCTATAATCTGGTAGCCAAGTTGAATCCCCACAGGTAGGTTTTTTAATCACTAGTCACACAGTTAAATCACATTGTTTTGGGGTACAGGTGAATTTTTGACACTTAGGAAAATGTAGTGTTTCTAGTTCTACATTTTTCCAGTGGTCACTTCAATCCACAGAAACTCTGACAGTGGAATCATCTTCCACAGACTCAAAAATATACTGTAATTCAAGTTGTCATGGAACTTTCTTGAGTCACATGTTTGAAACTCATGTTTTAGACCATTTACCAACCTTTTTCTTCTGGTGCAAATGCTGCTGTCAAATTTATGGCTTCACTTAAACTGAGTTATGTGCAATGGAAATAATTCAGCTGTTGGGAACACCAGTTGTTGAGCACTAATGATTATAGGTTGTATGAAACCCTTTGCCATGTAGATCTGTGTTCAGCTATTATAAACTTAATTTTGATGTTCTTACCTCACAATATAATGAAATCCATAAAAACCACAGGGCAATTCTGCAGTTTCTGTGCAGTGTCCCAGGGAGGTTTTAGCACTGGTGCTGGGAGTGTGTTTTGTAAGATTTGGTCAACTTGGGGAAGGAATTGCAGGAGTTGTTTTGCTTGGAGTTCTTGAACTTTGTTTAGTGTCATTAATACTGTACTTTAAAAAAAGGAAAAAAAGTCTTCCTTTGAAACCACTGATTTAATGGAAATTTACTGAAATCCAAATACCCAAACAGAAAATTCTTCAGAAGGTAAACTGCTGTGTGTACTCCTGGAAACAGAAAGAGGTGGTTTTAATATTTGATCACTTAGTATTTTTAAGAACCACACATACTTCTAGACAAGCATATGCTGAAATACTTTGCTTTTTATTAGCCTGAGGCAAAAAAAAAAAAAATCCAAAACGCTTTGGTGAAAGTGGAATCCTAGATGTCCTGGAGATGGGGAACAACATCTAACCTAGGGTAAGCTGAAGACCTCGAGGGATGATTAAAGAAACATTCTGAAAACAAAGCAGTTCCTAATACAGTGTAAGCCTTTGAGAAGACTCAGTGCAGTGTAAGCTATTGAAAATACTATCATTAAAAAACAGGCTTGGGCTAAATATAACATTGATTTAAACTAACATTGAGGAACAGATTGCAATTTCCTCTATTGGTATTGGGTGGCTTCCTGCAAGACCTTCCAATTATTATTTCCTTTCATAGGGAGAAATACATTTTTACAGAAACCAACTGGCTCTCAGAGAAGTTTTGGATTTAGTCAGTAAAGTGATATCCAGATGTGGATGCCATAATACATGATTTTGATGTTAATTCAAATTCCTGACTCTCTTTGCTAGTTAAGGGTTTCTGAGTTGTTGCTATTGCACAATCACATCCATCTCCTTCATCTCGATATTTTTTTAAGTAGTATCTTAAACATTAGTCAAAAAGAAAAAATGGAACTTTTAAGAACATTTTGCTTCTTCTGACAGCCTGAAAACCCAATTTGAGCAACACTTTTTGGCTTCAGATGGCCTCACTTTGGGTCAGTTTGAGACAAATGCTTGAAGCACTTGGCACTCTGTGTCAGACCATGGTTTGTCTGGCCTAAGGGCAAGTCAAACTTCCCATCAGACTCATAAAATCAGAAGGAAATTTTGCCTCATCACATTCCTTTCTCGTGATTTTAAGGTGCCCTCTCTGGGTGCCATGGAGCTGCAATGTCCCATGGCAAAGCCCAAAGCAGCAGCAGCTTGACAAGGTGTTTTCTGACCAAGTCACACCTCTATCACTGCCTTCTTGCTCCTCTTGAGTTTGAGCCTGTTGGGATTTTGACAGTGTTGGCACAGAGAGTGTCCCAAAAACTGAACTTGCCCTTCAGTGCCATGGTAGATATCTTTGCTGTGAACTTCCCAGGACTTGAATTCTTTGGAGGTCACTGCAGTGGGGCTGACATGGGGCAAATCCAGCACAGCTCACCTGGTCACCTGTGATGTGCTTACACCTCAGAGATCAGGAATCAATGGTTTAGGCCATAGAATGGGTTGGGAGCACAACTCTATTAGTGGCCTGCAGATGTTTGGAAAAGCTGCTTAAGTTGGGTTATCCCAATGGTGATGCTTTAGACTCCTGAGAATGTCTGTGCAGGAGCTTTGTTGGTCACTGACGTGTTGTATAAACCTATTGAGGCTGAATTTCAGTCAGGTTTCTTACATCCCAACAGTGATCTATCCACAACAACCTGGAGCTCCACACCTTCAAATGGTCAGAGCATTTACCCAGCTTCTCTTCTGCTTTTGGTTGCTGCTTGGACTGGGCACTAGCTTGAAGCCCAAGGCACCATAGAGATACCTCGAGGTTATTTATGAAATCCCAGCCTTAGTTGTTGAGGGTTTTTATGAAATCCATTTGGATTCTGGGATTGAAAGTACAAAACAGTTCCTGGGATTGGAACAGCAAAACATGTTCAGAGCATTTTAATGGTGAAGTTGATGGCCAAGTGGAGACTCCACATCAAAAAGTAGATTCTGGAAAGAAATGGATGATGGAGAGCATACAGTGACAAACCCACAACAGAAAAAGGAGAAAATGACACTTTTTTTGCCAGATGAACCACATTTGTTGTTTGGTTCCTATTACAGATTCGAGGGTTCTGTTATATCCCTGAATTAACACCAAAATTTCATTAGCAAAACATGGTTTGAAGATGACACATTTCATCACTCTGTGTCTCAGCTAGCTTCTGATCAGATTAATTCTGTTAATAAATAAGACTTAAAAGATTTCTAGGAAAGAATGTCCCATAATAATGTTCCCCTTCATGTGAACAATTTTCAAACAGTTGTTTTTCTTTTTTATGTTGAAAAATGTTGAGAGGGGAAAAAAAGTCCAAGTGTATTTTATAGCCAGAGCAGAACAAAGGAGAAAACTTCTGGTTTTAAATTGTCTGGGCCTGTGTGGGCATTGAGTGTTCTCAACATCCTCATAGCTTTGTTAGATGGTGTTGTATCTGGGAGCAAAGGGATAATTTCCTCTCTGCAAAGGTTTTATCAACATAGTGAGTTTTCTCCATGCAGCTATAAAAACTGCTCACTCTGCTATAGTTGTGCTGGAGTCAGTCCCTGTGTGGGCACTTGATTTCCCTTTATTCTGGAATATTCTTTCCACCTCTCCTCTCTGCCTGTGTGTCCTTCCTCTTTGATTTGCATAATCCTCCCTCCCATTCATGTTTGGTTCTTGCTAAAAGTCAAACAAATGATTTGAAACCCTGGGATGTTTTAAAGCATACAGAACATTTCTCTAGGGCACCTGATATCTTTGTTTCCAGAATGTGGTTCTCAAAATATACTGAAGGTAATTACAAATGTCTCTATCAGAAAAAAACTGCGGTTTTAAAAACATAGAGAAGAGGCTAATTTTGTGTGTAGCTATATCTCATTATCAGCCATGTTTATTAGCAAATTCCACTTGTAATTACAAATAATATTTTGTATTCAAAGAGAAAGCACATCAGGGCTATGGGAACATTCACTGAGTGACTGTAGCCCTCTGGTCTGTTGTCCTCAAAACCCCTTTTGGAATAGCATCGTGGTACTCTGCAAGAGCCACTGTTGGGGTTAGTACAAAATAACTCTAATTTGTTGATTTAAAAGTCCCAAGCAAAGGTAAACTCAGTGGTTTAGATGTCCTTGTTAGAGATTATTGAGGGAGGAGAGGCATTAGAGAGAATCACAGAATCATAGAATCAACCAGCTTGGAAGTGACCTCAAAGATCATCGAGTCCAACTCTAGCACAGCCCAAACTGACCTGACCTAGAGAGGAAACACTTTTGGTCCTGTGTTACAGGGCAGACAGTGAGGGTAGAGCCTTGACTTTGTCCCTGGTTTGTGGCAAAGATGGAAA